AAAATAAAAATGTTGTAACTGCTTGAAAGTTAAAATAAAAAAACAAAACCCAAATATAGAACAGAGTTCTTAAGCAAATTTATCTCTATTGGATTCTCTTAAAATTTGAGTTCTTTGCCTTCCTATTCTCAGGTTGTATCCTTGGATTTCTTTATCCAAGAAACACTTTTATGCCTCCTATCCATTTCTTCTGTATGTCAGGACATTCTCTTGCTGGTTCATATATTAACATTTCCATAGCAGTGGGATATACCTTAGTTTAATGTAACTTTCATTTAATGTACATTTTTAGAATCTTAAAATCAGTCTCACTTTGGCAATTATTTTTCCTTTGCCTACAGGACTTTAAATGACCTTTGTTCACTAACTTTCTACTTCAACTCTCCTATAATAATAAAGTATATTTTCATGCTGGTGGAGTTCTTCCTGTTCATCTAATGCTTTTCCATTTCCTCAGAGCAGTGAATCAGATTATTAATTTCTTTTCTAGCATTTCTCCCTCTTTACTTATTCTTGGCAATAGTAGTTGGTGAAAAGGAAACTTGATGTATGTCTCAGGCCTTTCACTGAATTATCTTTTACTGGGCTACACCCTTCCCCTCACATAAAGTCATGAAGAGTTAATATCTAGCTACTGGAAGGGAGCCTACCTTATCATTCTTATGCTGATTTCATTCAGTGGGAAAATCAGAGATACTCTTTGCAGTTCCTTGGTCATCAGCTCACTCTCATCTTACTGAAACAGAAATCTTGTTAACTTTTTATCCAGTTCCATCAGTATCTTAGCAAGAATGTAAAAAAGGTTTTTGTTTTGTTCTCAGTATTGCATTTCTTTCTACAGAGTGCTATTGTGTAAGTGATAATTCAGCAAATTTTGCTGTGAACGAAGCTGTGTTTACTACTTGAATCTAATATTTGAAGATACCTTCTGAGGACAAATGAAGAAGATACACCAGTGGCAGAGTGGGATGAAGAATAGAATAGAAACTTCCTGGGAGCTGTTCTGGGGGACTACCTGAGCAGAGGGCAAAGCCACAGTGGTTTGATCCATGGATGGTGCTTTAGACCCAGAGGGGAGGGACTGCTCACATGATAGCATTGTTCCTGACATCTATGAAATTTGGTCAAGATCCCGCTGACTTTTATTCAAGGGAGGGGAAACTAAAAGGAGGAAGTAGAGGTCAGTGGTTCTAGTTATTTGGACAGACTTAAGTTTAGGTCCAGAATCTAAAAGCTATTAGCTATAAGATATGAGAAAATAATTTAGCCTCACTGAACCATAATTTCTCCATCTATGGAGAGCTAAGAATTAAATGGCCTAATGTAGAGAAATGGTGTGAAAAGTGCTGGCTCAGAGTAGGCATTCAATAGGCAGTAACTAAAACCCAAAAACTGAGGAACTAAAAGTACTGTGACATATGTTTCTGGGAAAAATTGGAAGTACATGATTACATTAGAAACCTGTGTAGCTAAAGTTGGGGGGGAAAGTTTCTCCATGCCAATGGTGGGAGCACTAGTGTTAGTTGCCTTTGGGGCCCCAAAGGACATGTCCTACTTGGCACAATTGGCATGTTTGCAAAGGGTACCCAACAATGCTCCTGAGAGTGGTACAGCAGACATCCAGAAGCAGCAGTGACAAGTGAATATCTGAAAACCATCATCATCAGTGGGACACTTTAGGAGACCAGAATAGGAGAAACCAAATGGGAGCTTCCATACAAGAACTGAGAGATGGATTTACAAGTGTAATGTACATTCAATTTTCCCCTGCAGACTCTGAGAATTATTTGTAGAGGGATTCTAGGGATAAATTGATTGTAAATCTGGTTTTACTGTGATTCAAGAGGCTAAAAAACTGTTCATTATCATTGTCTTCTAGAAAAAAAACTACCTTCATATAATTTATATTCCACCCTCAAGAAGCCCATGATTGGTAGAGAAAACAAGCACATGCATAAATGTTACAAAACTGAAGAAATCAAGCCTATGAGCAATGTATAAGGAAGAGAGGGATGTAGGATGAAACAGAGAAACTTAATGCTGTTATGGACAAGAGAAAGTGGTGAAAGGTACCATGAAAGGTTTGAATATACATAAAAATTCAGCCAATGAGTAAGGAGGCATGAGTTTTCATCAAGAGCAATTAGTAAATGAAAGGCATAGCACATGAAACTTCATGGTCTGCTGAAGGATTATGGGGTGCCTAGAACAGCAAGTACCTTTAGAGAAGTGAAAGAATGTCTAGAAGACAGCATGGCACTGTAAGAAAAATATGCACATGGTCATTTCATATCCAGAGATTAGCACTTTATGACTTTGTGAATTTTAAGCAACATTTAGAATTTCTATAAACCTTTATTTTTTATCTAGGAAATGAGAGGAAAGACAGCCTTATTTAAGTGTTGCTATAGATATCAAACAAACTATAAACAGCTTTTATAGTGGAAGCTCAGCAAATATTAGACCCTTAGAGTCTTAGGGACGAGGGTAAAGGAAAGATGGCATGATTCTAAGAATGGTAGTACTTGGGGTTGTACAGCCTGGTCCCTTTAGGAATCCAGGATCACACCCAAATTAACTGCCATAGGAGTGTGTTGGAGTGGAGGGCTGAACAAACAGATACAGAGAAAGATAGGGAATTCACTTTAAAAATACTGACTGAAATTGAAGTGTGTGTAGAAAAGAACTTCTAGTTTATGAAGAACACATACCAGAGAGCATCCACATATATCTCAGTTTAATAAGTCAACGACTATGACCAGATCCTGAATAACACTAATAGAACAGGGAGGAGATATACAGGAACCCAGTGAAGGTGAGAGAAGAAAATGCCAGAAAGTAAGGGAGGGAGATTTGGGGATTAATGTCAATGGAGTAGATATTTTAAGGAAGTTGAAATAGTGAGTAGTGCCAAATGCAAATGAAAGGGTGAATAAAGATAAGATCCAAGGTCACGACTGGATTTATCAATTTAGAATTTATTAGTGGTGTGATAGGGGAGAGAAAGTATGGGAAGAGGTGATCAATAAGATCAGGTATGATGTGTAAGAATGAGTTAGAACATTACTCATAATGTATGTGGGATCTCACATAGATTTCAAGAGGAGGAGAGTTATATATTGTACTAGCTCGGTTCATGAATGTTTCTCTTTGCAAATAATTTGGTTTGAAAACAGAACCATTCAGTAAAATTTTGTTTCGATTCTGCAACTCTGCATTGGGTGTCAAACATGCAGCCATCTTCCTCGCAGAAACACAGATGCGACCATCTTTCCCAGAATCGTGGAACTAATTAAGTTCATGAACTGAGGCACCACTGTATATGTTAAGCTGATACAAGGTGATAAACATTTTGAAAATATAGGAGCTCCAAGCCTGTTTAGTGATAGGTCTTCTCATAAAGTTGTGCTTTTCACTCGGTTGGGTCCTCCCAGCTACCCAGCTATTCATTTCAGTTTTACTCAACTCTTCAGACTCTCTGTTTCCTAATGGGCATTTCATATTTTCCCACATTTCCTTAAACTTTAGATCTCTCAGTGGATGTCTTTGCCTCATATTTCACGAGAAAAATAGAAAGCATCAGCTAAGACTCTGCTGTCTTTTGCTCGGAAGTATGGGGTATAGGAGAATGAAGACATTCATCAATGAATTGATGCGAGAGGTGTGACACAAATTTCCTTTAAGTCCCCAAATTGACAGCAGTTGTTACCACAAAGACAGTGATATGGGTTCAGAAAAAGTTATCATGCAAGGAAGGATCCAAAGGACATAATGAAGTGAAAGAGGAAAGGAGGCCAGACATGAGTTGAAGATGGTAACCACAGAACCTGAGGAACATGAAGTCTGGGAGAAGATTAAAATGATGCAATTAAATTTCTTTCTGGGGTTAGATAAAATGTAACAGCAGAAATGCACACATTTCCATGAGGGAATGATCTTCTATATGAATGTTAGAGGCTTATATATGAGGGCTTGGAATTGAGGTATAAAGATTAGAAAGGAGGGGGGAAAGAACCTTTATAGATCCCTGCAAAGCCAATAGTAAACATTCATTGGTACTTTTGAAAATAAAGTCAGTATTTTCAGAAAGAGTGAGATTTAAAGGGAAAAGTGCTTCAATGCAGCATGTGGGAAATAATGTGTTTACTACATGAATGAAAGAAAGGTAAGGAGTGTATCTACAACATCTTATTAAGTGAAATGGAATCCTAACAAAACGTGTGTGTGTGTGTGTGTGTGAGAGAGAGAGAGGGAGAGGGGGAGAGAGAGAGAGAGAGAGAGAGAGAGAGAGAGAGAGAGAGATTCCAATGCTGAGATGCTTTCTAGATGTGATGTATCTATTTTAGAAGCAGATCTGTGTTTAATACGGCCTGAGACTTACACAATTCTGAGACTTTCTGTAGGAGAAAAATATACAAATTTACTGTTGCAAATTTCTTACAAGAGTAAATATTTATTTAAGATCCCAACCTCCATTAGCACCACAGTAAATGTCTGTGTGATTTTATAGTCTTCTCTGTGTTAATCCATATAAATATTCTACAATGAGCATAAACTACTTTAGAAATAAGAACTAGTGTTATTTTAAAGTTGAAGAATGATTTAATTTTTTATACTAGCTGCACTCCCAAATCTATTCACATTAGATTTGTTGTAATGACCACGACATGAGTTGTGCTGACTTTAGTAATTTAGGTTGTTTCCTCCATGAAGAGTCATCATTGTATAAAGTATCCGTTTTAAAGCAGGATCTCTTCTTCACTTTCCTGTAGCCACCCCCATCTGCACACTTTGATCTGGAAGGTGCCTTCTGCTGAAGGATTTGTTTAGCAACAGGAAGTGACTGCGTAAGAAAGATTTATACTGGTTCACTTTATCCTGTCAGCCATCAAGGAAGTAGATGACTGACTGTAAATGATCTGGGGACTGTCCCCATAAATTCTTCTTGTTGAACAAACTGTTGAACAGGTATTGAGATGAAGTAAGAAGGATTTTCTTACCTTTGGAGAACATGAAAATCTGTGACTTGGTGTGGCCTCCATCGTGACTCCTTTTGGATTACGAGAAGCACTTCTTTCAATCAGATCCCGGATTTTATTGTCCAGCTCTATGCTTTCACACCTGACCAGGGGCCATGGGAAAGACACTTGTGACAAAGGTAATTAAAATTATTCAAGGGCACACTGAGTTTATCAATAACATGGAAGTGTTATTGGTGTATCTCTTTAGAATCTCCTAAACTCTAATTTCATTTTCTATTCATTAGTCTATGCCACAAGAGCTCATTAAGATTATTAAAGTTTAATTTTCACTTACTTGCACATCGATACAAAATGATTCAGTAATATTCATAGTCTGATAGCAATGATAAGAACTGAGTGCTCAGTAAACCACATGTTTTAAAACATTTTTAATACAACAAACTGTGCAGTAAAGATACTCCTCTTTCAATGATCTACCTGTTAACTGTTTGGACTTATGACACCACTTTGGACTCGTGTTTTTTTTTGTACAGTTCTGTATATCTTGTTGATAGAGTCTCAATGTCTTTTTTTTTTTTTGCACAGTACACCTTTTTTATACAGTACTGCAATTTTTGCTGATTGTTTTATGTTCTGTTATACATTACAGCACTGGATGTAAGAGTTATAAAAATAAAAGTGAAGTAATCAAACTGAGTTTCCTTTGCCCATTTTTTTGTTCTGAATATTATATTGTACATACTGTACAATTCCTTTTACTGCGCAATGCATTTAACAGTCTAGCTGCAGGAACGGAATGTGGTTGTTAAAAGAGAAGTGCCCACAGCTTACTGTATTTTCGGCACATTCACTAAGCACACTGTGCAAAAAACCACAACACTCATGAAAAGACAAATGCCTTTAAACTACGTATTATTTCTATAATGTCTGATACTGGGGAAAAATAAGCTATCTCATGTGAGGTTGCTTACTTTGCCTCAAAAACCAAAAAATATATGTTTTGCTGGTTTTGATGTAGAGGGGAGTGATTTGGAGCATGGTCTTTATGAGACCTGTTGATCACACAGACAGAACAACTGTGCCAAAGGGCCAGAAAAATTAATCAGTGCACTCTTTTTATTGTGCTCACTTCGGAGGACTATTTGCTTCCAACAGTTCCCCAAGTGATAATAAAGCTGATTCATTTGAAGTTAAATAAATTCTCAGACATAAACAAACTCTTTAGAAGTGATGTTACCTTTGAAACTATTTGATATGTAGAAATGTCTCATATCATATGGGTGCACATTCTTCTCAAGTGTTTTATATATATATTTTCAAACCACAGTAAACAATTGAATGATTCATTATCACTGTTATTCTTGGCTCTGTCTTTAAGTGTTTAATTTTTGTCTTACTGCCTTGGCTAGTAAGCTCCTTTATGACATACTTTATATGTCTTTCTATCCTCCAAGGTATTTACTGCTGAAGCAGACAGAGCAGCGTCTCCATTAATGGGTCGGGGATTTAGCTCAGTGGTTCCACCTCCTGCCTAGCAAGTGCAAGGTCCCTAGTTTGATCCCTGGTACCAAAAAAAAAAAAAAAAAAAAAAAGAATGAGATAAAACATTAATGCCTGTTTCACTGTCAAGAATATTTGGTATTGGGGCTGGGGATTTAGCTCAGTGACACTGTGCCTGCTTCACAAATGCAAGGTCCTGAGTTCAATCCCTGGTACCAAAAAAATAAAAAGAATATTTAGTATTTCCAATGATTTTCACAGAGTCAAGCAGGTTCATGGCTCTGTAATATCTTGTTAGTAGTATTTTAGTTTCATTGGCCCCCTGCAATGACCTGCAGAAGCTCCTTCATTAATGAGCCAAAATCGCACATTCAAGAGATAGCTTCCAGCAATATCAACTGTGAGCATTGTAGTCTTGAAGAATTTGTGGAAGCTAAGATGCCAGGAAAGGTCATGTGAGCAAATATAAAATAAATGCTTTATTAATTTGCTAAAGATCATGTTTGGATTACATCTGTTTTGCAATCATGGTTATTGATGAGCACTTTCTATGTCATTGCTATATTGCAAAATATCCTGGATATTATGAATAATATTCACCCCTGCCTTTTCTGACACCTGAGGGACCAATATTGCCTGAACCTAGCTGATGTGATGATTTGTTGGTGGCTAATGTGTTTTATTTTTAAAGTTATTAGACAGCATTTGTTCTTAAGAAAAACAAATCATTTTCATCAAACTGTTTTGATAATATGATGTCTAATACAGATATTCTTCATTTAGCAACCCCACCTCCTTAGCAAGTGTTCAGACTTACAACCTATTTTCGGACAACTCTGTACATTTTCTGATGGAATCTCAATTTCTTTCCTTTTTTTTTGGTTCTGGGGATCGAACTCAGGTCCTTGAACTTGCGAGGCCGGCAGCAGAACCACTAAGCTAAATCCCAGGCCCTCAATTTCATTTTTTGTACAGTGTACCTTGTTTATATAGTACTGTAATTTTTGTTGATTATACTTCACAGTATTGTTCTGTAGTTTTATGTTCTGTTATACATTACAGCACTGATGTAAGTTATACAAATAAAAGCAAAGTCATTAAGTTGGAGTTTCCTTTGACCATTTCTTTGTTCTGAATATTATAATATACATACTGTATATTATATACATAAATTATATACTCATTTAGTGACCAATTCATTTAACAGTCTAGTCACAGGAGTGGAACTCAGTTATTAAATGAGGAGTGTCTGTGGTCACTGTTGTGCAAACTGGAGTTTAGGAAGTTTATTAACTTGTGTGAAATCAAACTGCAAAACATTAGCAGGATCAAACTCAGTCCTGTATGACAGCCTATTTCAACCATATTTTTGTGTATCTCCATTAACCTCTGAATAAATTCTTAAGCAATTACCTGCCATTAAATATAAATATTACATGATAGCTGAAGAGTATTGGAAGCTACCTGATGGAAAATCTAGTCCCAGAGCTGCGTTTATCTGAGAACCAGTGTGAACTGTGCACAGTCACATGACCAGTAACTGATAACATTGAGATTTAAACCAGACCTTCGAACTCAAGTTCATTTTTTTTCCATTATACTATGTTAGCATAAGGAAGAATTTTTCTTTTTTTGTTGTTTTTGGTTTTTTTTTGGTACCAGGGATCGAACTTGGGACCTTGTGCTTGAGAGGCAGGCACCGGAACCACTGAGCTAAATCCCCGGCCCTAAGGAAGAATTTTTCTTATTAAAAACAATTCAAAAAATCCACCAATACTGTGTGTGACTTTCTTGGAATATGTGTGTGTGTGTTTGTATTTTTTTGCCTGCCTTAATATTTCTCACTAAAATAAACACCTTGGATTGTGGATGAGTTCTTGCAGGAGGATTTTGCAAAGTTGCCTCCAAAAGAAATAAGCATGAAATGGAAAATCTCAGCTGTCTGTCATGGCCCGCACGTGAGTTGTCTGCCTAACCCTGTGCCCTCTTTGTCAGGGGTTCGCAGTGCATGCTTGGACAGCCATGCTTGCTGAAACCACATGATCTTGCTTATAACTCTAGGATCAGGGAAATGAATGACCCTAGTCAGGCCAGTGCAAGTCCCCAGTGAGGTTCTGTGTGCAAAGGATGGTGAGAAAGAAGCAGAAGTGTAGAGAAATACAGAGCTGAGATACGGAGGAAGGCTCTCCAATTTCTAGTCCAGAATCTGCCCTTTCCAAACTGTGGCTGTTTCCTACTCATAGATTCTGTGAGGTACTGCATGTCTTTGTAATACATTATCTTTCTTTTTTAAAATAATAAAGGTAGTTTTGCTTGTTTTTTGTCATTTTTAATAAGAATTCCACAAAATGTATCTTTAGCTTCATATTTATTGTTTCTTGCAGGCTGTGAAATGTCTGCACCATCAAGTCGCTTGTATGATCCTCATAAAATACAGGTTACTGGGTCTACAGTAAATCTGTCATGGCCTAATGTACTATAAATCCATGGCATTGAATTTCAATCCATCTTCAAAGTTTCTCTAAGGAGAATCATAGAATTTTTTTAGCAACTGCATACTTCAGGTTAATTAAAGTCCTAAGTAGCAATAGAATTGGGCTAGACTGAGTGTTTATCCCCTGATGTAGTTTTCTGACCTATTCTCAACCAGATTTGCCTCCCAAGGCCACAATAACTTGTGGTAGTACATACTCAATAGCAAATGTGGTTCTGAGCACTTCAGATCACAGACAGGATCACGCTGAGATGACCCACTATGGTCTCCACCTGCTCAAGTAATCTGGTTCCTTTAGTTCAGTGGTGGTAAACCTATGGCATGTGTGTTATTGTGTTTTTCTTTTATGACAAAGGATGCTAACATATGAGTTGTTCTTCTAAACTAGAACCTCATTATTCAGGTTTAATTCCAGTGTTGGCACTTTGGGTAAATAAGTGGGTTTTGAGTTGCAGTCTGGCACTGGGACTCTAAAGGTTTTCCATCACTGCCTTACTGTTTTCCCAATATCTTCAGCTCCCTTCCTTCTTGCTCTTCCCTCTGGGAGCACTTGCCCTATTACAGTTGTGAGGGATACCAAGCACAGGACCCTTCCTAGCACTTTGGCCTCTACTGCTATTTCTGCAGAACTTGCTTCTCCATTTCCTTCAGGTCCTGGCTCAAATGTCATTTTATCCAGAATGCATCTGAGGACTAGCCTACCTGAACTAGTTCTCTCAATCCCAAAATGCTGTCCCTTGATTCTACTTTATTTTCTTCTTGTTGTGTTTTAAAATCTTATTTGTTTAATATTCCCTTCCCTCACTTCCATATATACTCCATATATATCACATGAATGTAGAAGGCTTTTGTTTTATATTCCTTGCTCTGTCCCCTAGTGCATAATAGGAACACCACTAATATTTGTTATTGAATAGTGTAACTCCATGAAGAGGCTTGCTTCAAAACACCTAAACATTAATTCAAACATAACTGTAAAATTAGATGTTATCTAAAATATATGCAAATGGCCTCAAACTCAAAACTGATAAAGGTGGAACACAAATAATCAAGAAAGGAAACACTAAGGGCATCTTGAGAATGGAAACTCAAGCTCAGTCATTACTGCCTTTATTGCTATCTTGTTCTTTTGTACTTGAATTATA